CCTCGGCCTCAGCCTCAGCCTGCCTCAGCCTCAGCCTGCCTCAGCCTCAGCCTCAGCCTGCCTCAGCATTCAAAATGTGGCCCGGGAATGGAGTTCTGGGAACTCGAAGAACACGAAGTGGCCTACAGTTGGCTCCGGGCATTCAAAATCATGCCCAGGAATGGAGTTCTGGGAACTCGAAGACCACGAAGTGGCCTACAGTTGGCTCCGGGCATTCAAAATGTGGCCCGGGAATGGAGTTCTGGGAACTCGAAGAGCACGAAGTGGCCTACAGTTGGCTCCGGGCATTCAAAATGTGGCCCGGGAATGGAGTTCTGGGAACTCGAAGAGCACGAAGTGGCCTACAGTTGGCTCCGGGCATTCAAAATGTGGCCCGGGAATGGAGTTCTGGGAAGTCGAAGAGCACGAAGTGTGGGACTGTTGGCTTAAAACGACTTCTGCGGCACCCTGTCCGGCACCCCGCCCAGACCCCCCTGTGGAGTCATCTGCTGATCTCTTTTTACCCTATTATCCCGGCAAGCATCCTAAATACAGCGATGTGTGGGAAACATATCTGAAAGCATTCCCCTTAATATTCAGATGATTTTCCCCGGCAAAGCAACCTAACAGCGATGTGTAGGAGCATATTTGGAAGCATTCCCCTTAAGATTCAGATAAGAATCCTGTTGTAGAATTCTGCTGTTCTCGCAGTCGTGGTCGCATTCGCGATGGCAGTCGCAGTGGCAACAGCAGTCGCAGTCACAGCCTCAGCCTCAGCCTGCCTCAGCCTCAGCCTCAGCCTGCTTCAGCCTCAGCCTCAGTCTGCCTTCAGCCTCGGCCTCAGCCTCAGCCTGCCTCAGCCTCAGCCTGCATCAGCCTCAGCCTCAGCCTCAGCCTGCCTCAGCATCAGCCTGCCTCAGCCTCAGCCTCAGCCTGCCTCAGCCTCAGCCTCAGCCTGCTTCAGCCTCAGCCTCAGTCTGCCTTCAGCCTCGGCCCTCAGCCTCAGCCTGCCTCAGCCTCAGCCTGCCTCAGCCTCAGCATCAGCCTGCCTCAGCATTCAAAGTGTGGCCCGGGAATGGAGTTCTGGGAACTGGAAGAACACGAAGTGGCCTACAGTTGGCTCCGGGCATTCAAAATCATGCCCAGGAATGGAGTTCTGGGAACTCGAAGACCACGAAGTGGCCTTTCAGTTGGCTCTGGGCATCGAAAATGTGGCCCGAGAATGGAGTTCTGGGAACTCGAAGACCACGAAGTGGCCTACAGTTGGCCCCGGGCATCCAAAATGTGGCCCGGGAGTGGAGTTCTGGGAAGTCGAAGAGCACGAAGTGGCCTACAGTTGGCTCCGGGCATTCAAAATGTGGCCCGGGAATGGAGTTCTGGGGACTCGAAGACCACGAAGTGGTCTACAGTTGGCTCCGGGCATTCAAAATGTGGCCCGGGAATGGAATTCTGGGGACTCGAAGAGCACGAAGTGGCCTACAGTTGGCTCCGGGCATTCAGAATGTGGCCCGGGAATGGAGTTCTGGGAGGTCGAAGAGCACGAAGTGTGTGACTGTTGGCTTAAAACGACTTCTGCGGCACCCTGTCCGGCACCCGCCCAGACCCCCCTGTGGAGTCATTTGCTGCTCTCTTTTGACCCCACTAGAAACCTATCAGAACAAGCTGTTAGGTAATGAAAATCCAGTTGTAGAATTCTGCTGTTCTCGCAGTCGTAGTCGCATTCGCGATGACAGTCGCAGCGGCAACGGCAGTCGCAGTCACAGCCTCAGCCTCAGCCTGCCTCAGCCTCAGCCTCAGCCTCAGCCTGCCTCAGCCTCAGCCTCAGCCTGCTTCAGCCTCAGCCTCAGTCTGCCTTCAGCCTCGGCCTCAGCCTCAGCCTGCCTCAGCCTCAGCCTGCATCAGCCTCAGCCTCAGCCTCAGCCTGCCTCAGCATCAGCCTGCCTCAGCCTCAGCCTCAGCCTGCCTCAGCCTCAGCCTCAGCCTGCTTCAGCCTCAGCCTCAGTCTGCCTTCAGCCTCGGCCTCAGCCTCAGCCTGCCTCAGCCTCAGCCTGCCTCGGCCGCAGCATCAGCCTGCCTCAGCATTCAAAATGTGGCCCAGGAATGGAGTTCTGGGAACTAGAAGAACACGAAGTGGCCTACAGTTGGCTCCGGGCATTCAAAATCATGCCCAGGAATGGAGTTCTGGGAACTCGAAGACACGAAGTGGCCTACAGTTGGCTCCGGGCATTCAAAATGTGGCCCGGGAATGGAGTTCTGGGAACTCGAAGAGCACGAAGTGGCCTACAGTTGGCTCCGGGCATTCAAAATGTGGCCCGGGAATGGAGTTCTGGGAACTCGAAGAGCACGAAGTGGCCTACAGTTGGCTCCGGGCATTCAAAATGTGGCCCGGGAATGGAGTTCTGGGAACTCGAAGAGCACGAAGTGGCCTACAGTTGGCTCCGGGCATTCAAAATGTGGCCCGGGAATGGAGTTCTGGGAACTCGAAGAGCACGAAGTGGCCTACAGTTGGCTCCGGGCATTCAAAATGTGGCCCGGGAATGGAGTTCTGGGAACTCGAAGACCACGAAGTGGCCTACAGTTGGCTCCGGGCATTCAAAATGTGGCCCGGGAATGGAGTTCTGGGAACTCGAAGAGCACGAAGTGGCCTACAGTTGGCTCCGGGCATTCAAAATGTGGCCCGGGAATGGAGTTCTGGGAAGTCGAAGAGCACGAAGTGGCCTACAGTTGGCTCCGGGCATTCAGAATGTGGCCCGGGAATGGAGTTCTGGGAGGTCGAAGAGCACGAAGTGTGTGACTGTTGGCTTAAAACGACTTCTGCGGCACCCTGTCCGGCACCCGCCCAGACCCCCCTGTGGAGTCATCTGCTGCTCTCTTTTGACCCTACTAGAAACCTATCAGAACAAGCTGTTAGGTAATTAGAAACCTATCAGAACAAGCTGTTAGGTAAAAACCCTTGACCTCTGCCCTTTCCAAAGATGTTTCGCGAGAGACATTCTCAACACATACTGCACAGGAATCGTTCGCTGCAGGCGAAAGCCTCGCACAAATATTCCCATGGAAAACACGTGATTCCAACTCGGGGCCACCATCTGAGATACCCCTTGGTGGTCTGGGCATATGAAAGCACGTGGTTCCAGCGAGAGGCAACCAAATTAGATACCACCCCCATGGGCGGCCTGGAAAAGTAATATGATCGACCCACGAAACCGGAAAGAAATATAGAAATGTAAGACATGGCAACGTTTTCAAAGACACCTATTGGGCGACGGGCAAACGCAATGCTGAGTGTATCGACATTGATGTACCGTGCCGAGGGCTCTGCTGTGCTAGGCTGTGCTGATTTGCGATGTGCCATGCCGCGATTGTGCTCTATAGCGATGTGGATCGAGTCCTAATTTGCATCCGAGTCCTGATTGAACCGATCTTGATCTTAAGCTCGAGCTGCCTGAGCACATAGTAGTTGCCCCAGGGCTGATTGACAGGGGGACATGCAAGGAGGACACACCGCGGAACGTCCCAAGGGACGCACCAAGGGACGTGCCAGGGGACGTGCCATGGGGACGCACAGCGGGACGTGCCACAGGGGGCGCGCTACGGAACGTGCAAAAGGACGTGCCACGGGACGTGCCAGGGGACGCGCCGCGCGACGTGCCAGGGGGACTCGCCACGGGACGCGCCTCGGAACGTGCCAAGGAACATGCCAGGTTGCAATGCTGAGTGTATCGATCTTGTTGTACCGTGCCAAGGGCTGTGCTGCGCTGCGCCATGCTGAATTGCGATGTGCCATTCCTCAACAAATCCTCATGCTAGACATCTGCCTGGGCAACCTGGACGCGTGAAAACAAGCGTCTCGCTCGAGACATCCTCAAGATCTGGGCACGTGAAAACAAGCATTTCACTTGAGACATCCTGTGAATTCTGGTCCCCAGGAGAGGAACAATCTATAACACAAAACAAGCGTTGCGCTCGAATCATCCTCAATAAAGTCTGAAAACAAGCGTTTTGCTTGGGACGTCCTCCAAAATAATTCCGCCGGCCCTCTTCGACCTTGTTAGTGATCGCAGAATAACTCCGCCAGCCCTCTTCAAGTCGTTTCCAGTGGCAAACAGCTAAAACCCTGAGCCCACGCCCCTGCCTGGAAAAATACCTCCTGGGGCCTCCTGGGGCCTCCTGGGGGCGGGGGGGGGGCGAAAAGCACACCCCGAACACGGATCCCCACACAGAGCAATGCCTCTTGGGGCCTCCTGAGGCTTCTTGGAGCCTCCTAGCGCCTCCTACAGTCGGGGCGTTGACCTAAGGAACTCTAAATAAGGAACGAGGCCCCTTTTTTCCATAATTTAACCTTCGATTTCCGGTCGAAAACCTAAGGAAAGCCTGGGCAAACTGTGAAACAATGAAGGAACACGGAGCCCCTCCCCAACGAGAAGGGTTCCTTCTTCAGCGCCCCGACTGTAGCGCCTCCTGGAGCGTTAGGAACCCATGTGCTTTTGCACTTCTTCCACTGGCGCGTCGCCTGGGACGCTCCGCAGGATCTCCGGCGAGTATGGGCCGGCCAGCGTGCACGAAGTGCTTGCCCCTCCGGACGGCTCCAAGGGGTGCTGAAGCTGCATGGGCGAGCACTTCGAGTTCGTTGGCAGGAGAGGGTTACTGGCGAGGAGCGCCAAGGATCTCAAGAGCACAGGCCAGGTTCAGGATCTCAAGAGCACGGGACAAGGATCTCAGGGCGAGAGGAACACATCCTCGTCGTCGTCGCCTAGTTGGTTACTTTCGAAGACCAACCCGAAGGCATTGTTTGAGGATGCCTCAAGGTGGACGTTTACTTAAGAACACAAGTACGGCAAAGCCATTGGTGTTTCAATGGTTTCGCATCTTGGGCCATCTTGGGAGCCTTCCAAGAGTGCCCCCTAAAGATGTTGTACAACAGCTACTTGAACATCGCATGATGTCGTACAACAGCTGTTTCGATAATGCCTAGGGTGAGAACGCCATTTTCACAGATCCGACTAATTTCGTTGCGGTGCCGGCGTCGCAGCGTAGACGTCGTTTACATCTTGCGCTGATAACGCCGACCTGTAAAACTGGAGGTCGTCGATGGAAGCATCCATGAAGTACGACCCCGAACTGCCAACTGAATTGTAGTAGGTGCCGAGAACTGCTTTGTCGACCAAAGCGGTGCTGTACGATGTGCCACAACTCGACGCGAGAGCTTGAACAGACGCGTCCCTGTAGGGTCTGAGACGATCGCAAAATGCACCCAAGTATTAAACGCATGCGGATAGGCAAACGATCTCTCCCCCGCAGCATGAGAGCCCTGGCAATTCCCGTACATGCTGGAAAATTTAACGGTGTTATCGCTGTCAAAATCCGCCGACCCCTTGGGGTTCATCGGCGTGTGAGATCTTCCCCCTCCCGAAACCCCTCCCCCGGGAGCCCGGTCCGGTCGATTTGGAGGGGGGGTGGGGGGGTCTGTTCAAATTCCCCGCTTCCCCCGGGGGGGTCATCCGCTCCCGAAAATCCTGCAGGGACTCCTCCGGTGGCCTCGAATTGGCCCCGGGACGCACCACGACGGCTCAAGAGGACCTCCACGTGGCCTTCGGTGGCTCCAAGATTCCCCAATATGGGCTCAAGACAGCCCACGATGCCTCCAAGACGCTCCAAGAGGCCCCGGAGGGGCGCTCCAAGAAGGTCCAAAACAGCGAAAATCATTGATTTTCCATTGGGAAACGTAAATTTTTAGCATCGACGATTTTTCAACCTGCACGGAGTTGCAGCCAGTCTAAGAGGCCCCCAAGGCCACCCCATGACGCCCCAAAAGGGTCCCAAAAGGCGCCCAAGACGGCCCAAAACGGCGCCACGACGGCCGGCTCCCGAATCGGCCCAAAAGAGTCCCAAGACAGCTCCTAGAAGGGCCCCAGCGGCGGAGCCCGAACCGAAAATCCGAGCCCTCCGCTCCCACCTGGCCCTGGGACACCCCACGAGCCGCCCAAAAGGTCCCAAGAGACCCCCAAAAGACCTCCAAAAAGCGTCCGAGGGGCCCAAAAGAGGCCCCAAGAGGTCCCAAACCGGCCATCCGTGAACTTCGAAACTACCTCCACGAAGCCCGCGAGATGCCTCCCCAGAGATGCCGGAAGAAGGAGGGAGAAGGGAGGAAGGGGAGGAGAAGAAGGGGGAGCATAAATCCGCTACCTCCTTGTGGGTCGACGTGTGAGATATTTCCCCCCCCATACCCCCCCAAGGGACCTCAAACCAGAGATTTGACCCCCCCGGGCCCGGCACGAGCGCATCACGGAACTTTTCCGGGGTCAAGAAGGCCTAAACAGGGGCCAAGAAGGCCCCAAGAAGCCTCCAAGACGGCCCACGAGAGCTCCGAGACGCCAAACGACCTCTCCGACTTCGGTAGTCTTCTCTTGCACGCGCCGCTCCTGTCGCCTTTTGATGATTCCCCACCTGGTGCTGCTGCAAATGTTTCGTGTCCGAAAACGCTCCTCCGCACGCCGCGCACGTCACGTCGCACCTCGTTCTCTCGCCCCTCCGCGCATTTCCGACAGAGCCTCTCCCCCGATGAATTGTGCTTCTTCTGTGCACCCGACATTTCCGCCTGCTCTTTCAACAGCGTCAGACATGTCTTGCTCGAACGCATTTAAGGGGTCGGCGGATGTGGCGCAAGCCTGAAGAATATAATGCCCCTTGCCCATTAGGTCTAAGATCAATCAGGTAAGACCGACCGTACTTAAACGGATTGTGCGCCCGCATGTCCATCCACAACAACATACTGAAGGTATCGCCCGCCGTTCCAATTGAGAATTCTGCTGCACCTGAAAAGCTCTCGAAGGAAATAGCTCCAACGCTGTTTTTGCCAGTCGACTGCGTATAAGACCCGTAGAACGTGTCCAAACCTGTGGATGTCGTACCAGCAGTATTTTTACCAAGATTCGAAGCATCATCGAAATCGCATGCAAATAGCGGAGCACTTGTGGTAATCTGAGGGTCGCATAAATATTCTCAACCCCCAGTGGGGCCACAGAAGCTGAAAACGATCGACCCCCGAACCCAGAAAGGGATTAGAACCGCGACGCACGGGCACAAATGAGCGATGGGCAATGGCAATGCTGAAGATACCCATACGGAAACGGAAACGGAAACGGATCGCCTGTGCGGGCATGCGCCCGGGCCCCTGAGGGGCGAGGCGGGTGAGGCCATGGCCTCGCATGAGAAGCTCCGCGCGTCGGGGGTCTACTCAGGACAATGTGTTCTTCAGGAGGTGATTTCCCGACAGTCCCCACTCATCCGTTTTCTCATGATGTAGCCACGTCGTCTCGTTGAAATCGTAGTTCTTGTTGTGTGAGGCCAAAGGCAGAGGAGGATCGGCCAAAGGCAGAGGAGGAGGTTTGGAGGGGTGGCACTGACGAAGGGACAACCGTCGGCACGCGCGTCCAGCGCCCGGATCCCTCGTGCACGACGCCACGTCCGCGCCCCCAGAGCCAGGATCCCTCACAAATCACACAACGTCCGCGCTCCAAGGGCCACGACTCCACGTAAATCACGCTGCGCCCGCGATCCGAGGGCCATGATCCCTCGTGAAGTACGCCGCGCCCGCGCTCCCCGGGCCACGACCCTCCGTGGATCGCCGTGCGTCCGCGCCTCCAGGGCCGCGATCCCTCGTGAATGATGCTTGCTCCGCGCTCGAGGGGCCAGAATCCACGGTAGACTACAAATGTCTCCGCGCCCCCAGTCCACGATCCCTCCTAAATCACGCTGCGTCCGCGCCCCCAGGGCCGCGATGCTTCACGAGCTGCGCTGCGTCCGCGCTGCCAGGGCCACGATCCCTGGTAGAGTACGCTTCTTCCGCGCCCCCAGCGCCACAGGGCACTCGGTGGCACACGCCGCGGGGACATTGACAGGGGGGACATGCCAGGAGGACGCGCCGCAGCACGCCCCAGGCGACGCGCCAGCAGGGGACGCGCCCAGGGGACGTGCCAGGGGGACGCACCGCGGGACGTGCCAGGGGGACGCGCCACGGAACGCGCCGGGGAACGTGCCGGGGGACCTGTTTGCATTGACCCCTGTTTGCATTTGCGAGGAGAGAGGAGCGAGGAGCGAGGAGGAGGAGGAGAAGGAGGAAGAGGAGGAGCGAGGAGGAGGAGGAGGAGGAGGAGGAGGAGGAGGAGGAGAGGAGGAGAGGAGAGGAGGAGGAGGGAGGAGGGGGAGGAGGAGGAGGAGGGGCGAGGAGGAGGAGGGGACGCACCGCGCGACGTGCCAGGGGGACGCGCCGTGGAACCTGCCGGGGAACGTGCCAGGCGACGCGCCAGCGGACGTGCCAGGCGACCCGCGCTGGGGAGGCCCCTGGAGGCCCGACACCATTCGACCATCCTCCTCCTCCTCCTCCTCCTCCTCCTCCTCCTCCTCCTCCTCCTCCTCCTCCTCCTCCTCCTCCTCCTCCTCCCTCCTCCTCCTCCTCCTCCTCCTCCTCCCTCCTCCTCCTCCTGCTCCTCCTCCTCCTCCTCCTCCTCCTCCTCCCTCCTCCTCCCTCCTCCTCCCTCCTCCTCCCTCGCTGCGCACCCTGGCCTCTGAAGACCGCCGCGAAAAGACCGCCGAAAACCGCCCGCGGGCGCGCGCCACGCCGAGAGCGCTGAGGCCCGGCGCAGTCTTCGGCGGTCTTCGGCGGTCTTTCGACGGTCTTCGGCGGGCCTCGGCGGGCTTTTGGCGGTCTTCGGCGGTCTTTCGGCAGTATTCAGCGGTCTGTCGGCGGTCTTCGGCGGTCTTCGGCGGCCACCGGTGTGAAAGCGAAATCCGCCGATCCGGCGTGTGAACTACAAGGAGCCTCAGCAAGCGCTTCAGCTCTGAGCCGAAGCAAGAGCTTCAGCTCTGCTTGGGGGGGTCGCCAGGGTGGCTCTGCCGGGGAAGCGGGGGAGGGGGGGGTCCTCCGTCTGGCGTTTTCTTCATGATTTGTTCATCCCCCAGATATTTCGGGGGGTCCCAGGGTCGCCGGGGTGGCTCTGCTGGGGAAGCGGGGGAAGGGGGAGGGGGGAGTCCTGACCGAACTGATCTGGATCTTAAGCTCGAGCTGCCTGAGCACATAGTAGCTGGGGACACGCCAGGGGGACGCGCCGCGGAACGTCCTAAGGGACGCGCCAGGGGTCGTGCCAGGGGACGTGCCATGGGGACGCACCGCGGGACGTGCCAAAGGGACGCGCTACGGAACGTGCCAATGGACGTGCCACGGGACGCGCCAGTGGACGCGCCGCGCGAAGTGCCGGGGGGACTCGCCATGGGACGCGCCAGGGACCGTGCCAGGTTGCAAGGCTGAGTGTATGGATCTTGATGTACCGTGCCGAGGGCTGCGCTGTGCAGCGCCGTGCTGAATTGCGATGTGCCATGCCGCGATTGTGCTCTATAGCGTTGTGGATCGAGTCCTCCTTTGCATCCGAGTCCTGACCGAACTGATCTGGATCTTAAGCTCGAGCTGCCTAAGAACATAGTAGCTGCCCCAGAGCTAATTGACAGGGGGACATGCCAGGAGGACGCGCCGCCGAACGTCCCAAGGGACGCGCCTGGGGTCGTGCCAGGGGACGTGCCACGAAGACGCACCGCGGGACGTGCCAGAAGGACGCGCTACGGAACGTGCCAATGGACGTGCCACGGGACGTGCCAGGGGACGCGCCGCGCGACGTGCCAGGGGGACTCGCCACGGGACGCGCAACGGAACGTGCCAGGGAACGTGCCAAGCGACGCGCCAGGGAACGTGCCAGGGAACGCGTCAGGGAACGTGCCGCGGGACGTCCCTGACCCGGGGCCAGGATCACTCGTAGATTACAATGCGTCCGCGCTCCCAGGGCCACGATCCATAATAAATTACGCTGCGTCCGCGCTCTCAGGGCCACGATCCCTTGTAAATTACGCTGCGTCCGCTCTCCCTGGGCCACGATACCTCGTAAACTACGCTGCGTCCGCGCTCCCAGGGCCGCGCTCCCTTGTGAATTACACAGTGTCCGCGCTCCCAGACGATCCCTCGTAAATTACACTGGGTTCGCTGCGTCCGTGCTCCCAGGGCCAGGATCGCTGCAACACAAACGTTTCGCCCGAGACATCCTCAGAGATTCGGCACGCAAGGTGCGCCATCCTAGAGCGGGCACGCAAAATGATCGACCCACGAACCCGGAAAGGAATATAGACATGTAAAGCATGGCAACGTTCCAAAGACACCTGATTGGGCGACGGGCAAACGCAATGCTGAGTGTATGGATCTTGATGTACCATGCCGAGGGCAGTGCTGTGCAGCACCGTGCTGAACTGCGATGCGCCATGCCGCGATTATGCTCCATAGCGTTGTGGATTGAGTCCTCCTTTGCATCCGAGTCCTGACCGAACTGATCTGGATCTTAAGCTCGAGCTGCCTCAGCACATAGTAGCTGCCCCAGAGCTAATTGACAGGGGAACATGCCAGGAGGACGCGCCGCGGAACGTCCCAAGGGACGCGCCAGGCGACGTGCCAAGGGACGTGCCACGAAGACGCACCGCGGGACGTGCCGAGGGGACGCGCTACGGAACGTGCCAATGGACGTGCCACGGGACGTGCCAGGGGACGCGCCGCGACGTGCCAGGGGGGCTCGCCACGGGGACGCGCCACGGGGCCAACGTGCCAGGTTGCAATGCTGAGTGTATCGATCTTGATGTACCGTGCCGAGGGCTGTGCTGTGCTGCGCTGTGCTGAACTGCGATGTGCCATGCCGCGATTGTGCTCTATAGCGTTGTGGATCGAGTCCTCCTTTGCATCCGAGTCCTGACCGAACTGATCTGGATCTTAAGCTCGAGCTGCCTCAGCACATAGTAGCTGCCCCAGAGCTGATTGACAGGGGGACATGCCAGGAGGACGCGCCGCCGAACGTCCCAAGGGACGCGCCAGGCGACGTGCCAAGGGACGTGCCACGGGGACGCACCGCGGGACGTGCCGAGGGGACGCGCTACGGAACGTGCCAGTGGACGTGCCACGGGACGTGCCGGGGGACGCGCCGCGCGACGTGCCAGCGGGGCTCGCCACGGGACGCGCCACGGAACGTGCCACGGAACGTGCCAGGTTGCAATGCTGAGTGTATCGATCTTGTACCGTGCCGAGGGCAGTGCTGTGCTGCGTCGTGCTGAACTGCGATGTGCCATGCCACGATTGTGCTCTATAGCATTGTGCATCGAGTCTTCCTTTGCATCCGAGTCCTGACTGAACTGATCTGGATCTTAAGCTCGAGCTGCCTCAGCACATAGTAGTTGCCCCAGAGCTAACTGACAAGGGGACATGCCAGGAGGACGCGCCGCGAAACGTCCCAAGGGACGCGCCAGGCGACGTGCCAGGGGACGTGCCAGGGGGACGCACCGCGGGACGTGCCGAGGGGACGCGCTACGGAACGTGCCAATGGACGTGCCACCTCATGCTAGACATCCGCCTGGGCGAACTGGACACGTGAAAACACGAGGTTCCCTCGAGACATCCTCAACACATCTTCATGTTAGACGTCCGTTCCACGCCCCCAGAAGGCCCCAAGATGCCCATGGAAGATACCCCCTAGGTGGCCTGGACACGTTAAAGACCCTGGCTCCGCCATGTTACCCCCTGGGCGGCCTGGACACGTAAAGCACGCGGTTCCAATTCGGGACAATCATGTTAGATACCCCCTGGGTGGCCTGGGCACGTAAAAACGTGGGTGCCAGCTCGGGACAACCCTGTTAGATACCCCCTGGGTGGCCTGGACACGTGAAAGCACGTGTTCCAAGCTCGGGACAACCATGTTAAATACTTCCTCTGGGTGGCCTGGACACGTAAAAGCACTTGTTTCAAGCTCGGGAGAACCATGTTAGGTACCCCCCTTGGGTGGCCTGGACACGTGAAAACGCGCGGTTCCAATTCGGGACAACAATGTTAAATACCGCCCCCAGGTGGCCTGGACACGTAAAAACACGTGGTTCCAACTCGGGACAACCATGTTAGATACCCCCCTTGGGCGGCCTGGACATGTAAAAACACGTGGATCCAGCTCTGGGCAACCACGTTAGATACACACCTGGGTGGCCTAGACGCGCGAAAAACGTTGTCTTTGCTCGGGGCAACCATGTTAGATACCCCCCTGGGTGGCCTGGACACGTAAAATCGTTGGTGCCGGCTCGGGACAATCATGTTAGATGCACCCCTGAGCGGCCTGGACACGTAAAAACACGTGGTCTTTGCTCGGGACCACCATGTTATAGACCCCCCTGGGTGGCCTGGACATGTGAAAACACGTGGTGCCAGCTCGGGACAACTATGTTAGATACACCCCTGGGTGGCCTGGAAAGGTAAAAACACGTGGTTCCAGCTCGGGACGACCATGTTAGATATCTGCCTGGGGGGCCTGGACATGTGAAAACACGTGGTGCCAGCTCGGGACAACCATGTTAGATACCCCCTGCGTGGCCTGGATACGCTGAATTCGCGCTCTGGACAGGCCCCCTGTACAGAGCAAGAAAACATTACTTTTCTGTATTAGGATATGTGTTCAGTTAGCGCGTTTCGGCCCCCCGTGCGTTTCCTGAGAATTCGGCGTTGGGCCCGACGCCATGTTGGATATCCCCCTCGGGCGGCCTGGACACGTAAGAACACGTTGTTCCAATTCGGGACAATCACGTAAAAACACGTGGTTCCAGCACAGGACCACCATGTTAGATACCCCCTGGGTGGCCTGGACACTTGAAAACACGCGGTTCCAGCGCATGACCACCATGTCAGATACCCCCTGGGTAGCCTGAACATGTAAAAACACATGATTCAAGCCCGGGACCACCATGTTAGATACCCCCCTGGGTGGGCTGGACAAATGAAAACACATGATTCCAGCTCGGGACCACCATGTTAGATACCCTAGCTCGGAACCGCCATGTTAGATACCTCCCGTATGGCCTTTTGTACGAATTGGTCGGGTTTCCAGACCTCGTTATTTTTCACGGATTCTGCACAGAACGCGCCGCACCCTTTTTCACGAAGGAAAGCGGTGGTCTGCGGACCCCGTTATTTATCGAGGATCCGAGATGGGGGGGCAAACTTTCCTCGAGCGGGCACGCGAAAAACGCACTTGTTCAACTGAAAATTCACACTTCACCTCGTACTTCATCGCAGAATGATTCCGCTGGCCCACCTCTAAAACCAACTAAAGAGACCCCCGGGCCGGAACCCTTTCCGGGAAAGTACGCGAGCGGTGAAAAAAGCGGCCCTCGCGCGCCGGTGAAGGAGCGCCCCCCCGCCCCCCCGCACTCGAATCTCGTTGTCTCTCCCCCCTGCGCGGGGAAAGGGAGAGATCCCCCCCGGCACTCAAATCATCTTCCTCTCCCCCCCACGCGCGCGCGCCGGAGAGAGGGCCCCGCCCCCTCCCGCCAGCACTTGCCTGTCTCTTCCCTTTCCCCGCGCGCCGGGGAGAAATCCCATCCCCCCTCCAAGCAATCGAATGTATCTCTCCTCCTCCCACGCGCCGGGGGGGGGGGGGAATGTTTTGTTTCTCCCCTCCCGCCGTCAGGTCGGCCGTCGGGTACGGCGTCGGAAAGGCCGTCGGGTACGGTGTCGGGTCGGCCGTCGGGCTGGGCGTTGGGCTGAGCGTCGGGAAGTCGGTGGGGTACGGCGTCGGGAAGGCTGTCGGGAAGGCCGTTGGGTACGGCGTCGGGTCGGCCGTCGGGCTGGGCGTTGGGCTGAGCGTCGGGAAGTCGGTGGGGTACGGCGTCGGGAAGGCTGTCGGGAAGGCCGTTGGGTACGGCGTCGGGAAGGCAGTCGGGTAAGGTGTCGGGAAGGCTGTCGGGTACGGCGTCGGGAAGGCAGTCGGGTGCGAAGTCGGACTTGGTGTGGGGCTGGCCGTTGGGCTGGGTGTGGGGGTAATCACTTGCCAACCTGGCCAAAAGCTTAAGGACATCTCTGAAGACCGCATAGAATAATAATACCCTTTCCAAGTGTACCAAACAATACCTGTAGCATATGACGATACACTCCCGGGTCCTTCGTAGCGGCCGTTCAAATTTGAGCGGTGGCAGCCGTTGTACCACCACGCGCCCAAATATTTACTTGCGCAGTTGAACTGCTGGTCAAGGTCGTTGTCCTGATCACTGGTTGAAAAGCTGCGTCCGTTGTGGATGGACAGGCTGTCACCGATGTCTCCTGAATACCCGCCGATTGTCAATCGATATAGGTTCGATTCGCTGTCCACGTGGAAATTGGAGTACGTGGCGTGCCCCGCCTGACCAGCGGCGTCCACGAGGTCCACCTTCAGCTCGATCTCGCTCGACGCTGCAGTGAGACGGTGAATGTTGTCATTCCCGAGCCAAAAGTTGCCGTTGTCGCCAAAACCCGACTTGTATTCGGACCATCCCCTGAAGAAACCAATGCTGCCACTGGTTCTCCTTTGGATGACGACCCTCCCACTGGACAGCGTGACTGCGATGGGGTCCCCACCGTCACCCAAGTCTAAAGTGACCTGCCCATCCGGCGTATGTGCCAGACTGGCCGCCTTCGCCGCGCCGCGATAAACCGTGGCGTTCCTCGTGTCGAACATTGGGGTCTGCCCGGTCGTCTTCTGGTGCGCTCTTGAGCGCCACTGCCATCCCGCGCCCACACCCATGGGAAGCGCGGTACCCATGCACTGGACAACAGATAGCACTACCAATAACCCACCCTTCATGAAAGCCATCGAAGAAGGCGGTCTTCCCAGATGCTTCCCAAGAATGATGTGTACTTCGGTAAGGTAAGCAGATCGGGTGTTCAAAATCCCTGGATGAACTCGAGCCAACAAGGACTCAAAATCCTACGGGAAGCCGTGCATCTCATGATCAGACGGCTTGGCCTTGACAACACTCTACCTCTCGGCTTTTAGACATGATCGACCCACGATCCCGGAAAGAAATGTAGAAATGTAAGGCATGGCAACGCTTCAAAGACACCTGATTGGGCGACGGACAAATGCAATGCTGAGTATATCGATCTTGCTGTACCGTGCCGAGGGCTGTGCTGTGCTGCGTCGTGCTAAATTGGGATGTGCCATGTCGAGATGTTGCCCTATAATGTTGTGGATCCAGTCCTCCTTTGTATCCGAGTCCTGACCGAACTGCTCTGGATCTTAAGCTCGAGCTGCCTGGGCACATAGTAGCTACCCCAGAGCTAATTGAAAGGGGAACATGCCGGGAGGACGCGCCGCGGAACGTCCCAAGGGACGCGCCAAACGACGTGCCAGGGGACGTGCCAAAGGGGCGCGCTACGGAACGTGCCAATGGACGTGCCACGGGACGTGCAAAGGGACGCGCCGCGCGACGTGGCAGGGGGACTCGCCACGGGACGCGCCACGGAACGTGCCAACGAACGTGCCAAGTTGCAATGCTGAGTGTATCGATCTTGATGTACCGTGCCCAGAGCTGTGCTGTGCTGCGTCGTGCTGAATTGCGATGTGCCGTGCCGCGGTTGTGCTCTGTACTGTTGTGGGCCGAGTCCTCCTTTGCATCCGAGTCCTGACCGAACTGATCTGGATCTTACGCTCGAGCTGCCTGGGCACATAGTAGCTGCCCCAGAGCTGATTGACAGGGGGACATGCCAGGAGGACGCGCCGCGGAACGTCCCAAGGGACGCGCCAAACGACGTGCCAGGGGACGTGCCATGGGGACGCACCGCGGGACGTGCGAAGGGGACGCGCTACGGAACGTGCCAATGGACGTGCCACGGGACGTGCCAAGGGACGCGCCGCGCGACGTGCCAAGGGGACTCGCCACGGGACGCGCCACGGAACGTGCCAAGAAACGTGCAAGGTTGCAATGCTGAGTGTATCGATCTTGATGTACCGTGCCGAGGGCTGCGCTGTACTGCGTCGTGCTGAATTGCGATGTGCCATGCGACGGTTGTGCTCTAAGTGTTGTGGACCGAGTCCTCCTTTGCATCCGAGTCCTGACCGAACTGATCTGGATCTTACGCTCGATCTGCCTGGGCACATAGTAGCTGCCCCAGAGCTAATTGAAAGGGGAACATGCCGGGAGGACGCGCCGCGGAACGTCCCAAGAGACGCGCCAAATGACGTGCCAAGGGACGTGCCATGGGGACGCACCGCGGGACGTGCGAAGGGGACGCGCTACGGAACGTGCCAATGGACGTGCCACGGGACGTGCCAAGGGACGCGCCGCGCGACGTGCCAGGGGGGCTCGCCACGGGACGCGCCACGGAACGTGCCAAGTTGCAATGCTGAGTGTATCGATCTTAATGTACCGTGCCGAGGGCTGTGCTGTGCTGCGTCGTGCTGAGTTGCGATGTGCCATGCCGCGGTTGTGCTCTATGATGTTGTGGATCGAGTCCTCCTTTGCATCCGAGTCCTGACCGAACTGATCTGGATCTTAAGCTCGAGCTGCCTGAGCACATACTAGCTGCCCCAGAGCTCATTGGCAGGGGAACATGCCAGGAGGACGCGCCGCGGAACGTCCCCAGAGACGCGCCAAACGACGCGCCAGACGTGCCAAGGGGACGCGCTACGGAACGTGCTGGGGACAAGCGCTTCGCTCGAGACATCATGCGCAAATCCTCATGCTAGACATCGGCCTGGCCGACCTGGACACGTGCAACGAAAGAGTTTCGGTCAACACATCGTAAACACATCCTCATTCTAGACAACCGCCTGGGAGAACTGGACGCGAGACATCCTCAACACATATTCATGTTCGACATCCGTTCCAGGCCCCCAGGAAGGTCACAGAAGGCCCATGTTAGATACCCCCTAGGTGGCCTGGACACGTTAAAGCACCTGGCTCCGCCATGTTAGATACCCCCTCTGGGCGGCCTGGACACGTAAAACCACGTGGTTCGAATTCGGTGCAGTTATGTTAGATACCCCACTGGGTGGCCTGAACATGTTAAAACACGTGGGACCAGCTCTGGGCAACCATGCTAGAGACACCCCTGGGTGGCCTGGACACGTTAAAACACGTGGTCCTTGCTCGGGGCAACCATGTTAGATACCCCCCATGGGTGGCCTGGACATTAAAAACACGTGATGCCAGCTCGGGACCACCATGCTAGATACACCCCTGAATAGCCTGGACACGTAAAACCACGTGGTTCAAGCTCGGGACCCCCCCCCTGCGTGGCCTGGCTACGTAAAACTACGTGGTTCGAATTCGGGACAATCATGTTAGATTCCCCATGGGTGGCCTGCACACGGAAAGCACAAGGGCCAGCCCACACAGGGGGGGGTATCTAACATGCGGTCGTCTGGGGCGCAGGAGGGCCCGGGAACGCCCAGAAGCGCCTGGAGGCCAAAAAGCAAACGAATCGATACCAAATCCGCCGACCCTGTCGGCGTGTGGAATGGGTTGTTTTTCTCGTCCGTGCCTCCTTCCCTTTCCCACCTTTTCCGTTTCCTTCTCGTTCGTCTCCTCCTCCTCCTCCTCCTCCTCCTCCTCCTCCTCCTCTTCCTCCTCCTCCTCCTCCTCATCATCATCCTCCCCCTCCTCCTCCTCATCCTCCCCTCTTCTTCCTCCTCCTCCTCCTCCTCCTCCTCCTCCTCCTCCTCCTCCTCCTCCTCCTCCTCCTCCTCCTCCTCCTCCTCCTCCTCAGCCGTTCTGGCTCAGGCTGTTGTGGCCTGTGCTTGCAAGCGCGTACTTCAGAGCGGCTCGCGTTTGCGGGCCAATCTCGCTGTTCTTTTCACGAGGCCTGCGTGGCCAGCCTTTCGCCGCGGCGTTCCCCGCAGTGGACGGCCCCTCTCGATGGTCAGGTGCTGCCTGGGCCGCGCACGCCCCACTGGGGCTGTCAATGCGGAGTGGCGGACAACTGGGCATCAAAAATTTCATGCCGTTCGTGTGGTCGCGCTGCCGCGCAGAAGACCATCCAGGCTGCGCGTCAGGCTGCTGCGAAAGCCAGGTCATCACAGCAGCCGCTGGGGCCCAAGTCCAGGCCGCTGATCGGCCAGTGGGCGCAGGGCCCCCCAGGCAACGCGAATGCGAAGATGCTCAAGCAGCTCCAGGGCTTGCAGCAGCAGGTCGCGAAGCTCAAAGGTGGAACCCAGTCGTCGTCGGAAACGTTGCCACCGTGGGCCCATGGAGCAGGAGCTGCAGGAGGTGGTAACGGAGGTGGAGGTCCTGCACCGCACACCTCGGGGATCGACGTTCTCGCCTACCTCAAGAAGCTCGGGGCCGACAATGCGGCCATCGATGCGGTGGTGGAGGCAGAGAAGAAGGCTACGGAGAAAAAGCGTGCACCTACTGCCCAGTCGGCGCGCTGGAAGGTGGAGAACCTCAAATCCAAGATCACGAAGATGGAGGCGCGGATCACCGAGATCGAGCGCCAGCGCACAGCCTTGCACGAGGAGCTCAACACGGTCAAGGCGCCCCTGGACAAATGGCGAGAGGATCTTGCGCAGGCCCAAGAGCTCTTGTGCAAGGCGCACGTCAGAGAGTTCGAGGACCCGCTCAAGGCCATGTCGGCTGGCCCTGCCTCAGCGGTCGTTGTCGGCGGAGGGCGGGGCTGCGCTGGAGAAGCTGCAGCAGCTGCAGCTCGAAGCTCAGGCCGCTGCTCGGGCCGCAGAGGCTTCTCAGGATGATGCTGGCGCTGCTGCTCAGCCTCCAGGTGCTCCAGGCGGAGGCGGAGAGAACATCGCTGCCAACGCTGGAGACTCTGATGACATCGACATGGAGCTGCTCGGCGGAGAGGACTTCGACGAACGGAAGCAGGCCTTCGACACAGCCACTGAGGAGCTCAATACAGCCAGAGGTGGACCGCAGGAAGAGCGGGACGCTGCAAAGCGTAAGTACCTCGCAGCTGCACAAGCTCTGGGGGACAAGCGTGCACGGACTGGCTCCTAACCTGAGCGGAGTCGGTGGTCGGCACACAGTCATGGCCGATCTTGATCGCTTCCTGGGCAACAACATGATCGACGCCGACTGGGAGGAGGCCACGGGCTTTGCAATTCCAATCCTGAGGGATGACCGGTGCTTCGAGTCCACGCTGTTTAGGCAGATGGATATGGAGGGGGCGCCGTTGCTCGACCCTGCAGCGCGGCCTCTTCCTGGCGCAGGACGCGGCGAGGGCCGCGGGCCCATGGGCGGAAGGGGAAAGGGATTCAGCCCCTGTTCGTCACACCCCACCGCCCTCATGCACTGGGGATTCAGGCTTGACTGGGCCGCGCACGGCGACTCCGACGAGCGGTGCACCCACGGCTCCTTTGGAGCCGCAGAGGTCGCCACATGGACCTCGTGAGCCAGCGGAAGCTCGCGGACCTCTCCCCCATCTGGCCCGCTCCTCGGGGTTGGGGGCATGTGCAACTCAGAGGTTGACTGTCGAGCCCCAACTGGCCCGCTCCTCGGGGTTTGGGGCAAGAGCGAGCTTGGCGGCGTCGTCATCATCGCAGAGGGACAATGCATTGTCGTGGTCGGAGGCCCCCGTAGGCACGCACTGCTCAGCACTCTCGCCTGGCAATGAGGGCGCCAGAGGGTACCGACCTTCGGCTGCGGCCGCCGGCACGCACTGCTCAGCGCATCTCTTACGCAGGGCTGTAGTGCCAGAGGGCACCGACCTTCGGGGGATGCTGGCGATGTCAGTTGCGGTTCTGAGACCGCGATCCCTCCTCCCCATGTGGAGCTAGACCCGGATTCGAAAATTCATTGGTTGAAATCCGACAGGAGGGCGTCAGAACCTCCTGCGCGTAATCTTCTTGCAGGCGAA